ACCCATGTTTTCTTTCATTTCGTCTACGACCCTGGCTGAATACTCGCAGGCATGCCAAAGAGTCGTCGGCGCCAATGCAACCTCGACTTAGGAAAGTAAACTGGCAGATCAAAGCATCTTTTCCCCATGTCTCACTTCTCGTGCCCCCTTCGTGAGCGCGCCGGCTTCACGGGAGATGATGCCTCTCATCACATCAGCATCGCCAATCAGTGGAGATGCATTCGAAATGAGCCCGAATAGGAGCGTTCTCATGAACCCATACTTAACGTTTGAGGTTCTGACTTTTTGAGTCGCTTCGCCTGTCTTGGTTCCACCAACTCTTAGCCATTTGGCAGTAGTCATTCCTTTGCATCTCAACAAACTCGCCAGCCAGTCACTCATTCATCGTGTTTTTGCTCTCGGTTGCGTTTCAGTCACCTTCATTGGATGTTACCATGAAGTTCCTTTTCTCTGTTGCGGCGCTTTTCGCGGCTGCCCATGCGGCGTAAGTTCTCACAACTAGTCTCAGTCAATACCTACACACTTGTCGTGCGAATCATTGGCTTACATAAACCAGCTTCGATCAACCCCTTGGTCCAACCCTCAATGCCACGGGACCTACAGACAACTCGACGTATGACTACGTCGTAGTCGGCTCCGGGCCTGGCGGTGCTCCCCTCGCTGCCCGCCTGGCCATGGCCGGCTTCAGTGTTCTGCTCATCGACGCCGGCGAGGATCGAGGCGAAGACCCGGCCGTCCAGGTTCCGGCTCTACACGTTCTGGCTTCCCAACACCAGCCGATCGCATGGGATTTCTTCGTCAACCACTACTCTGATCCGGAGCAGGCCAAGAGAGACAGCAAGATGTCTTATCGAAAGCCGGATGGAGAGATCTATGTTGGTCTCGACCCGCCGCAGGGATCCGAACAGTTGGGAATCTTGTATCCTCGTGTCGGTGCCCTTGGTGGTTGCTCCCAAGTAAGTTGTCTCGATCTAGACTGCTGTTTCATTAGCTGACAATCTCGGAAGCATAATGCTCTCGTCACCATCCTGCCCCAGGACAGTGACTGGAACAACATTGCGGCCATCACTGGTGACAGCTCGTGGGAGGTGAGAACTTCCCAACTTCCTAAGTAATGTTTGGTCAATGCTGACAATGATGGTATGCAAAGGCTTCGAAGATGCGAGAGTACTACAAGAAGCTCGAGAAGTGTCACTATCTCCCCGGCGGCCTCGACAGCTCCGTGCACGGCTACGACGGATGGCTAGAGACTCAAACTACTCCGCCGATTCTCATCGTTCAAGACCAAAAGGTGCTGTCTCTGGTTCTCGCTGCTGCCACCACGATGGGCAAGTCACTTCTCGGCAAGGTGATCAACACCGTCACAGGCCTCCTCGAGATCTTGGCCGTCGACGTCAACAACGACTCACCCGACCGTGACAATGGAGAGAAGATCTACCAGATTCCCCTCTCCATGAAGGACCCTTCCTTCACTCGTTCATCCCCTCGTGACTTCATATTCGACGTTGTCACCGCGACCAACGAGGACGGATCCAAGAAGTACAAGTTGGATGTGGCTCTCAACACGCTCGTGACCAAGGTCAACTTTGACACGACGGGCGAGAAGCCCAAGGCAACTGGCGTTGAGTACCTCGTCGGCAAGAGCCTGTACCGTGCCGATCCCAGAGCCACCAAGGAGGACGGCGGCGTCCCCGGACGTGTGTTCGCTAGCAAGGAAGTCATCGTGTCCGCGGGAACCTTCAACACCCCTCAGCTGCTCAAGCTTAGTGGTATCGGCCCTGCCTCCGAACTTGAATCCTTTAATATCTCTGTAGTCAAAGACCTTCCTGGTGTCGGCGGCAACATGCAGGACCGGTACGAAGTCGGCATCGTGGGCAAGGCGCCCACCGACTTCTCCCTCCTCGAGAAGTGCACCTTCCTCGACATGAACGGCACGCACAACGGCGAGGACCCCTGCTTCTCTCAGTGGCAGTCGGGCATCGGCGGCCTAAAGGGCGGCTACACGACCAACGGCATTGCTTTCGGGTACTTCAAGCACTCCTCCGTCGCGGAGAATGGCAATCCGGACCTCTTCCTCGGTGGTGTACCGGCCTACTTCAACGGTTACTTCCCCAATTATGCCGAGCACGCCCTCGCCGACCTCAGCGTCTGGACCTGGCTTACCCTCAAGGGCCACAGCCGTAACAACGCTGGCGTGGTCAACCTAACGAGCACCAACCCGCGCGACACGCCCAACATCACCTTCCACAGCCTTTTCGAGGGCATCGGTGGCGAGGAAGATCTTCAGGCTGTGTACGAGGGAATGCAGTACGGCATCGAGGCGTTTGAGAACCTGATCCCGCTTGATGGCTCGTTTGAACGCATCTGGCCACCCAAGGAGATCTCATCTGAGGCTGACCTTAAGCAATTTGCCAAAGATGAGGCCTGGGGTCATCATGCTAGCTGCACTGCGCCTATTGGTGCCGATGACGATCCGCTTGCTGTCCTGGATTCTAACTTCAAGGTTCGTGGGGTTGACGGATTGCGCGTGGTCGATGCCTCCATCTTCCCCAAGATTCCCGGGTTCTATATCGTTCTCGGTATCTACATGGCGAGTGAGAAGGCCGCTGATGTGATCATCGCTGAGGCACAAGCGGCGTAGTTTGTCAAAGTTCGCCATTATTGGACATTGACGGTAACCAGGGTCCAGATTTCCTAATAGCATCATGTTCTATGATGTGCATAATACTACAACCAGATTCTGATTCATTGATCTCTTGAAAGCCGGACAAAGCATATAGGCGGACTGTGAAACGCCTCATTGTTTGCTGTAGATCTTGTAAAAGTGCGTTTTTCTTGGAGCTCAGTTGATGTACCTGAGACCGGGGTCAGCCGCGAATGAAGCCGAGAAGCCAGCTACCTTCATCCCGTCTTCCTTGTCAGACATCTGACGCAGCTTAAAGGCATCCTATAGGCCATTTCTCAAAGACCCCTTTCAGGTCTTGGCGTTGAAAGGGTGAAGACGGTCAGCTGCCTACCCTCACAAGCGTCTCTTTTAGACATACTGACCTCAGCTAGAAGCACCTAAGCATTTCGGAAGCGCCGGTCTTCAGACCACAACTTTTTAGGTAGACTTCTCAGGGGCATATATCAAGCCCGTCTCCTTCCAGGCCCCTAGAGCTGCTTGTCTCTGTACCAAGCACAATAGCAAGATCAGTCGAAAGTTGGCATTGCCTTCAGAAAGATGCTTCCCCGATCCGAAGCCTCAGCCAATTCATTGAAGGAGGACAACCGCTGGTGCCTACGATGCCTCGGTTTATACACTGGCGTCTATCCCAGGAAGCAAAAGCCGGTCGCGAACTACTATTGTAAAAGAAACCGTGAGTGGCGTTAAGTACCTTTCTCATTCACGATTTTCTTACTTACGTTTCATCGTTCTAGTTATGAAATGCGCCAGATGTGCCGAGGATAAGGACAAACGCTGTCTCATGGTAGGAGTTTGTTTCTTGGTGGAGGCTGTGGGATGCTGAATTTCATCTAGATTCAGAAGGAGCAGTGGCCCCAAACTCTGGAGATCATTGAGAAGACCAGGCAAATCATTTTGGCAGAACAGGTTGATGGCGAGAGCGAGAAGTTCGCCGGGGTAAATTCAATGCAGAAAGTTGGGTTGTCTTCCGAAACATTTGCTGATAATGACATGCCAGGACCGGAAAGCCATCAAAGACCTATATCGACATGTTGAAAGAGTGACCAGGGCTTACCACAACACACAACTGCAAGACGATCATCAATCAGCGGCTTCGGATGAGGACACTCCAATGGCCTACAACACGGCGTCTGACGATGAAGTGATGGGCGAGATTCGGTGCGCCCCGAGCTTTGCAGGACCGAGTCGGAGCGGCCGTTCCTCCAACACAGCTGGCCTAAGGGTCTCGAAGGTATTGGTTGATATCAAAAGAATCGACGAGGAAAAGGCAGAAGCCTCGCGCCGCCTGGGAAGAGAAGTCTGGATTGCGGCACGGGACCCGCAAGCAATCGGGCCTTCTGACCATTTTCTTCGGCTCGTGGTTGATGAGCTGCACCGTGACGCTCGTCAGGGCGATGCTCGGCACGGTATCTCTGACGCTTTCAAGGCTGTTGACAACGCTCAAGATGCCCGGGAGGACGCCTTCCGCCGGCTAGGAGACCTGGCTCTCGCCATCATGCCGGCCAGCTCCACGCTTGAGGGCAGGGGTTCGTCGGGCTCGGGCCGAGCCTCCAATTCTCGTCATTGATCTTGCAAGAAGGGAAGGGCCAGAAGCAACTTGATAGTAGTGAAGGAGGCTAGACCATGTTTTGAGATTTGGCGTTGATAGAATCTTTCGAGCGGTCCGTGGCTATTAAATTTATTGGAGCTGTCAAAGTGAATATGTGAGGATGGAATTGGCTTTGGTTGGCGGTACTTTAATTATGCACCAACAAGACCCCTGTCGTTAGCAAGCATCGAGCCCAGCTAAGACCAAAGGACTTGCTATCTGCACCTGTGTAATTGCATCAACAGCCGCAGAGGTGCGGTTCGCTGTGAAATTGTGAACCAGTGCTGCGAACCAGATGAATGTCTAGACCAATGCTAAGGAGAATTGGTCTGCTCCATGTCGTGTCGTGTCTTGCGCTGCTGCTGCCAAGGATTCCCCACGGAGGGTTTGGTCCGTGGTTCAGCCACATCACATGTAGCCACAGGGAAGTCAAGCTCCCGCCACAGCACTACGTCATACAGCCATCACCGAACCAAAGCGAGGGAGCTAGCTCTACGTACCTCAGCTGCCATAGGTAAGGTAGCTTGCCTTTGGCAGGCACGCAGGAGTCAGATCACGATCCTCGGGCTAAATAAATACGCCAGAGCTGTGCCTTGGCCAAGCCACGTCGCAAACACTCTCTCCCAGCTTCCCCATCTTTACGTCTTTCCGTCTACCAGCACCAACTTACTTTACGAAAGCCTTCTCTGCAACTTCAGACGACACCCTGACGAAAGCTATCTCATCATGTCTGACGAACGAACTGTTTCCCAGGGCCAGGCTTCCAGCTCCGGCGGAAGGAACAGGATGGTCGACTCTGTGCAAACCAAGGCCCAGGAAGTCCTGTTCGTATTGTCCACTATCTCGCGTGCTCGCGCCCCAATCTAACATACGTATGACAGGCAAGAGGACTACGACAAGGCGAGAGGTTTGGTCGCCGATGCTGCCAAGAGCAAGGCCTACCTGTACCCCATCAAGGGCATCATCTACTTCGCAACCCACCGAACACTGTGGAAGCCCCTCCTGTCACGCATCGGATCCTACCTGCTCCTATCTGCCGGTGTCGTCACTGGCATGTTCGTCTTCACCTACGTGCCACAACTTGCTCTCCTCGTTTTCGTGAACGGCCCGCTAGCCGTCTTCACCACCGTCCTTTTGATTCTGAACGAGAGTTCGGCAATCATCAACTTCCTCTCGCGATCATTCCTGCTCCAGGACGCGATTCTGGACACCTTTGACGGCACTCTTCTTCTCAGAGACGAGGACGGAATTGTGAGGGAAGGCAGACAGCTCAGGCCCGGATCTGACCCCATGCAGAAGCTGGGCAAGGTTCTCAAGAGTCCCTTTGAGAAATACAGTCCCAAGGCACTCATCAGATACCTCATCTACCTGCCCCTGAACTTCATTCCTGTCGTGGGAACTGTCATCTTTATCTCTCTACAGGGTGAGTTTTGCCGGCCGCTTCCGTGTATTTCACAGCTAATGTTTCTGCAGCTCGCAGTAGAGGTCAAGCCGTCCACGGCCGTGTATGTTTCTTCCTTTCCATATCCCGGATATCGTACTGACAATCCAACCCAGTACTTCCAACTCAAGAACTGGTCGTCTTCCAGAAGAGCCGACTGGCTGAAAAGACACGCCGGGCCTTACACTGCGTACGTTTGGGATCCACCCGCGCATGTATTGTGTGCATTTGACTGACTTCTGTCACAGCTTCGGCCTAGTTGCAACCGCCCTTGAGATGATCCCTTTCGCTAGCGTTCTCTTCACATTCACAAACGCAGGTATGTTTGGCAAGGATTGGACTTTCGCCTTGAGTAACTACTGACGCTTATCTATAGTCGGCGCTGCTCTTTGGGCCGCCGATATCGAGGCCAAGGATACTTCCATGACGGATAGCACCGCACCCACGCTTCGAGAGACGGCACAAAAGGCCGAGTAAACGACGGACGACTGCTTCTTGGAGTCACACCTTTGACTTTTACGGCGGGATCGGCTTGGCACTAGGAGATACCGACCCCTCTTTTGACCGGATCCCCGTGCCACAGCATCTTGACAGCAGTGACGGATCTAGTGCGACAAGAGCCGAAGCTTTCAGCTGAAGAGCACTCGTAACTATTGGCGAGACGGCGTTGTTCGACACGCTAAGCAAAGTCTGCGAAGCGTAATTCTGGTAACAGTCAACGGAGCAGTGTGTTTTGGCCCCGACGAACATGAGAAGAAGGAACTTTTACCGTAATAATTAATTTACGAATCACAACTCTGCGCATCACGATATCCTTGATGTACCACTCTTCAAGTCTTGCCCTGATTTCGTCTGCCGCAAGGTGTTTCAGACACTGCAGCACCGGCTTTGTCATTTTTCGCCGACGACCAGCTAGACGATCGCTCTTCAAATCCAGACGTTCGCCACCTGATACGGCACATTGACAGGTGTTCCGGCGAAGCAGTCCATGCTACTAATCAAGCGAGACTCACCTGGGCCTAACATCAACAAAATGAGTGGGACAAGACATCTCGAGCCCCCGCTCCGAGCCTTCCATTATAGCGTACTACTTGCTTCAGGAACAGGTAATCTTGTTTCAAGGTACACGGGTAGCTGCATGACACGCACTGTCAAAGATTGGCTTTTGCAACTACAACTGGTTGCAATCGTGTCTCGCACTAGGGGATGGTCAAGATGGGACAAGACTCGGTGCAAACTTATCGGTTCTGCCGGAGAGGCCGCTCGAGTCTCGCCGACCAGTGGCTTTCTGGTAGGTCACTAGTAGGTGTTCCTTGGTGAGTGCAACCACCTCGGGATAACGTCCCGTGTCTGTGACTGCCACCATACGACGCTGTGCTTGATGACTTGCGAGTGGATGTCACGATGCGTGCTCTTCGGTGATATCCTGATCATGAACTGATTCAGATTCGCAGGGGCGAGATTGGTGCTGCAGCAACTCTCCATCAGCATCGACTTTCAGTACCAGATGGATACCGCAGACAGAGTACCGAACGTGAAGTCCATCCCTCTTCTTGTTTCACCAATACGGATGTATGGCCTCAATGTGGTTGATGACCGCGAGCTGATCATTATACTGCCAGCCCGTACCTGTGTGTTGTGTCGGGCTCGGTTCGGGGGTCGCATAGCAGTTGGGTATCTTTCTCTTGTGACCCCCTGGTTAGCCTCGAGTACAAGCTGCTCTATTCTTCGCAATCTTCTGAAATTGTGCTAAAGAAGAATTCCAATATAGGAAAGGTTGTATCTTCCACAGCTCCCCACCAAACTAGGCCACAGAGCTGAATGATATTCCGGCTGCCTCTCTTCGGCCCGCTTCAGCAACTGATTCCGGCTCATGGCAAGACTGAATGAAGTGGGAGCATTCGAGCCCTGTAGTAATCAGAAGGTGTCTTGCAATATTTGGCATTCCCGAATGATATTGAAGTTGCAGTGAAATTGAAAGGAAGGAGGAGCATGTGTAAGCCATTTGGTGGTATTACCTTCCCGGCATCACACCTTCCTTTCATTAGGCAGGTCGTGAGCTCTTTCCTGCTATAATTGTGTCGTCCCCTTCTTCAGATACTTACACATACAAAGTTCCTTCTCCCGTTTTCCCACCTCGGTCTTCCCCCCTTCCCTTCTCTCTCGCCCTTTCCCCCTTCTTCGTTTCTTCTCCTGTGCCCATCCCCAGTCACTCGAATACGAGTGGGCCGGCTTTCACTCGTTCACTTCTACTAGTATCCCCGACTTTCGTTTGTTTGAATACTCCTAGCATCAGTGGCTCGCCAGGTATGATCGTCAACCATATTGTGTGCTACGAACTTTGTACTGAGGCCGCTTCAGAAGAAACTCCGAATATGCGAGCCTCACATCTCAATGTCGTCTTTGTGACGGTAGTCGGTCTGCCATTCTTTGCTACAGGCGTGACAGCTTCCGCCAATGCCGATGACCTCAAGCAGCGGGACAAATTCGAGTCCCACACCACTGCCCTCAAAGTTGAACATCACGCGAGGAGCCCTCAAGATCCCGATGCATTCACCAGCTACGACTATGGATACACCTATCCGCCGCCTCCCTCTCCCACCTCTTACGGTGACCAGCCGCCGTCGACCGTGATATCCTCTGCTAATAGTGCTCATGGTCAGTCGATTATGTATTTCGGATACTGCTCTCAGACTGACATGCGTAGTATCTTCAACTGAAGTCGGCTCGGTCGCCAGCGACTCCAGCACATATGGCGTCTCTGACTCTGTTACTCTGAGCTTAACTGTCTCTGCTGGAGCTACCACCACTCTGTCCAATGCCGTCACGTACCCCCCTAGTTCTGATAGTACTTCAAGTACTGCATCTTCAAAGGTGGCTAGCACCATTGTGACATTGAATTCATCCAGCTCCATCGCTTCAAGTGTATCATCATCACTTTTAACAGAGTCGACTCTTTGGCCGCCAGCCAACACTTCGACCAGAACCGCAACGTCATCCATTTTTGCAACGTCACTGAGCGCCAACCAGACAGCTTCTTCGGAGACCATATCTGGCACCTTTGCCTCCGCGTCCGAAGTCAATAACGGCACGGCCGTATCCTCGACTGGTTCAGCATCGGCCACTTCCACGCCCATGCCGCCATTCTCTGCATTCAATTCATCATCCAAGATACAGACTGGCACCGGTGGTCCAGTTTCAACCTCTTTCAACACATCCACGTCGCTAACATCTCTCTTCGTCTCTTCGGAACAAGCTTCTACGTTGACCCAACCTGTGGAAAGTCCGTGGCCTACGCTCTGGAATTCAACTGGTTTCCCCACCTCGGTGACCAGCTCCCAAACTTACTCACCCAACTCGTCCTCGTTGAGAACTTCTTCCGTCGACTTCTCGGTGTCCGCAAGTTCCTTCATAGTAGTCCCTTCTGTCGTCACTCTCAGCGCCAACGGAACCGTTCGGTTGACAACTCTCTCGCATACTCTACAAGCCACTGTCGGATGGAATAGCACACAATCAGGTGCTCCGGTCACAGGCATTCAGACCACACTTGGTACGGGCGTCTCTACCAGCGTCTTAATAAGCTCTCGAGTCTCGGGAGCTCTACCAGTCAACTCCTCGACAGTCGATGGCCATGTAAACCGAACCATTTCAAGTAGCCCGACCGGAAACTGGACCTCACACCCCGTCGTTACAGTGATTCTGCCTACTTCAACTCTCGTCATCTCGGGAACAGAATCCATCGTCCGAACGAGCATTGCTGTCACTGCCGCGCCTTGGTTTCCGGCAAACTCGACAATATGGCCAAGCGGTACGCTTGCCTCTATTAGTGAAGAAAGTCCACCGCCTGCGCCATCTGGCACGGGTACATTTCCTTCGGCTGCCAATAGCTCCAGGGCAACAGGGCCATATCCCGCGTCGAACACGACTACTCTAACACTGCCGACTGGAAGTGCGAGCAGTCGAGTGTCAGGTGCTCGAATTACGATCTCCGCGAACGGGACAGGTTTTACTGCTCCATGGAACTCGAGTACGATCATGACTCTGACAAGAGGCTCCACGGCGGGAACAGTAGTCATCACATCGATCGGCAATGCCACAAGCATAACAGCTACGCTCGCCACTCCTCCTCAACTACCAAATTCCACATGGGCCGCGAGTGCTAACGCCACTTGGATGGCAACGAGCCATTCCGGGGATCCAGCAACCTCCAATAGGACTTCGATAGGGGCTTCGGCCACTTTACCTCCATGGCCAGTGTTCAACTCCACCCAGGCATCACTCACTGGCACCGTTTCAATCCCTGCCATCACCTCGTCGGCAACTAGTATATCAAACACTACTGCCTCGGCCTCGGCATCGTTTCCTTGGATCAACTCGACATCTAGCGGGGGCCTCACGGCCTCAGTCATTACCGTGAGTGGAGGCAGCACAATCACTTTGTGGCCAACCGGGATGACTCCCAGCCTGACTTCGTCCTCAAATGGGACGCTCCTGCAGACGTCTACAGCCAACGCCACAAGCAGTTTGACGTCTTCAGCAGCATCAGCCCCCTTTCCCACATTCAATTTAACCCAGATCCCCTGGCCCACTGCGATCAACAGCTCTGGTATGCCGCCTTCTACGGTGTACTCAGGAACCGTTGCCATCACTTACACATCCATCGGAAGTGAACGACCACCTTTTCCCACAACCAACTCCACCAAGCTATCCGGGCCTACAGGAAGTGGCACATGGGCTTCAGGGACGTTATTTCGAACCTCTGAGCCCTCAGAAACATCCAATAGTACTTCGTCTACCGTCAACTTGCCGCCATTCCCGACAACAGGAAACGCCACTGCTATTCCAAGGCCAACTTGGATCCCTGGCACAGCATCAAGACTTCCTGTCACTACTTTGACCGCTACCGAAGCAAACGGCAGCACTACGCAGACACTCTCAATCGTTCCCCTGCCTCCTTTCCCAACCTTCAACGGTACGACAACTCCAGGCGCAACGGGCACCTCGGCCGGCACGGGAGTCAGTGTCACTTGGAGAGGCACAGGTGGTCCATTCAGTGCTCCGACAGATCCAAGTTCAACTTGGAGTCAGTGGCCCAACTCAACTGCGTCAAACATGTTGTCAACCACTAGTATACCAACAACGCAATCCGGCACTGCTCCTTTGCCTACTCCACGAAACACGACGACGGTCACAAATGCAAATGGCACGGCCTTCTCAACGGGATCTCCACCCGTTACTATTGGCCATCCCTCCTCGCTACCCCCCTTTAGCAACTCAACCACCATCTCTGGAGCAATCTCAACGTCTCATTTCACCTGGACTATGTCAGGATCCGTCTTCTCTTCTGTGTCTATATTACCTGTACCTACACTGTCACCTTTCAACTCATCTAGTTCTCGAGTTTCTTCCGGCACCGCGCCATCTTCTGGACCCTCTCTTACCGAGTCGGCGGGCCCAGCTTTTACCAACTCTGCCAGCCTTCCATCTGGAGCTTCTTCGGCTTGCAACACTGTCACTGTAACAAACGGCACCGTAACTCAGGTCGTCACCACAAGCATTCTCATCAATTCCGCTACGGCGAAGGCTGATCCAACCGTGGTCTACCCACCATCCTCTTCAAACAACACAGCGTACACCGCGTACCCATCCAGATCTTCCTGCAGTTCCAGATGGCAGAATATCACGATAGCGTCGACGGCAGGGTTCACAGGTTCGTGGACGTCTTCAGCTAGAACAAATCGTAAGTCAGAACCTCCCGACCTACTTTAGTCAATCTAACAACATCGCAGGAACCTGGACATCTGTAGACCCAGCCACGACATTCATCACATCAACGACAAGCCGCTTGAGTAATCCCAGCAGAGACAGCGGTGCTTTCTCAGATACCAGCTTCTCCGTAGCCGGCACGCCTACCACAACCATCTCTAACATGCCTCTCCCTTCGAGCCCGGCATACCCCTGGGGAGGACTTGGTCCCATTTTCCGACACCACAGCGGAACTGAGCCTGTTGACGATGATGCAGGGTCTCCCGATGGGCCAGTGTTCCAGGAGAGAGACGGGGTTTGGTAGTCTCGGTGGAAGAAACACATGGATCAACTCGCATCTCGTGCTCGAGCACGGAATCCGGGTGCTTAAGTCTCACGACGAAGACGAATGCCTGTTTGCTTCTATCCTGATATCCATTGAACTGCGTCTGGACCAGCGCACACGTACCCATACCAAGAGTCTCTTTTGTACCGCAACCCGACAGATGGCGTGCCTGGAGTTATTTCCTAGCTAGAGTGAATGAAAGTAAAATTGGAATGGCTGTCCTGATAAACCATAAAAATAACTCAGGTCCTTCCCGTGATGAAACGCTTCTTTGTCCTTCGCCGGCCGTTGATGAACCATGCTCCCTCATTGCAATACGCCAAAACACCATGATCCATATGCGAAATGGAACCCCCTAGTAAACCGCCAGCCCGATAGTCTATCATGAATTTCCCTACACCCAATAATGTCCGTAACTAGAGGAATATGAACGGCTAATGTATACCCTCCGGTGGATTAGATCCACTCGTCTCCGCCACCGTCGGCTTCCGCCCGTACACAACGTATCTGTACCAGGCAAGTCAGCACATAGTCTCTCTAATCTCGATCATCAAGAGGAACCGAACTCACAAAGGAACATAAGCATGCACCTTATGGCTCCTCAAACTCTTCCTCACTGTCGCGCAAAAAAGCAGCGTCTCCTCTTTACTCCACCCCAAATTCCTCGTCGCGAGCCCCAACGTCAACCCTTCGAGCCCGTGGTCGAGGTTACAATGCGTGTACGCGCCCAACGTCTTGAAGTGCGGGTCGCGCGGCCACGCGTTGACGGGCCACTTGAATTGTTGTTCTTCAACGTCGACGAAGCCCGCGGTGCGCATGAGGGTGGCGTAGGTGGGCGCCGCGTCCATGTTGCGGCCTGTTACACGGCCGCCTCTAAGGAAAAGGTCGGAGAGTTTGTGGATTGGAGAGTCTGGCGTTAGGGATGCGTCGTCGCAGCGGTAGGGAAGGGAGAGGTCTTGCATTTCGAGGTAGCCGCCTGGTTCAAGGTTTCTGGGTGGTTAAGAAGGTGAGTATTTGAGTGGCTGCTGGGGATAAGTGTGCATAGAATGAGATGGATGGGTATGAGGGTGAGGGTAAGAGTGAGAGAGAAGTTTGAGACACACTCGAAAGCTTGGTTTATAAAGTCTTGGTAGTTTTTAAGACTCCCTGCTAGCATGCGGACAAAGATGAAGTCGAACGGCTGAGACCATGTCCAATTCTGCTCTAGGTCGTCCAGCTCCCATGTTAAGTTCGGAGGTGTCCTGCCATCCCGACGTCAGTGAGCACGACAATGAGATTTTTTCCCACTTGATGAGCCTACCATTTTGGCTGGATGTTGCTCAGATCTACACCAATGACCTAGATGAAGACCGTCTTAGTAGTCGTCGGCCGGGATGGAGAGGATCTCATCGACTTGCCTTGGCTTCCGGGTGTGCGTCCGCTGCAATTTCAACATCGTCAATCTCACAACCCCAAAGCAAGGTGAGGCAGGACTCAGATTATCTCACCGTAATCCATCGCCCAGATCCCGGTGCCCGTACCGGCGTCCAGCACGCGCTTTGCCTTTTGTGAGTCCTTAGGACATAGGCATAGCTTGTCGCCCAGCGTCACACTCCACATGAGGTGTTGGAAATCTGGTTTGAGATGATACAAATATGAGCTTCAGGGTTCCTTTCCAAATCCGCACACCGAAAGAGGAGAGATGCAAACCTAGGCGCTCCTGCTCGACAATATCGTTGGGGAACGGGTATTCTGTTTTGATATCGTCAGTCAAGGCCCCAGCATCGGAGAGGCGGTTCGCAAGGCACTGCTCACTCCCGGAACTCATTGCGTGATATGTCCTGCCATTCTCCTCCAGCACCGTCAACATACTCGGGGTAGGCGAGTCGGTACTGCCATTCCGAAGCTGCAGCACATGATATCGTTAGTCTATGGCTGATGCTATCTGGGAAACAATATGAGAGCCAGGCTCTGGCTGCGTTTCTGGTGGCATCTTTGGAGCTCCAGCTGCGCGGGATGTGACGTGAAACGCCGCCACGTAACTAAACATGAGAAGGTACAAAGTGGGTGGGGGGGGGGGGGAGAACGCAAGCTGGGCAGAACAAAACACTCATACCTCCGAGATTGCCGAGTCCGAATCAAAGGTATCGGGCTCCTAGAAACACAATCAATGAGTTAAACCAAAACCTCGCAGTATGAGCTCTCATCAAAAAACGCACCAGAGGTTGCCCAGCGGCAGCCATATCTCTTCGCTCTGGAGTTCTCCTCGGTCGTTTTGTCGACGTAAATGTTTGTAGGTTGGTAGATTGAGAAAGCCGACCCCGATTTGGGTTCGGGAGAAGCAAAAGGTGGATAACGGTCGTTCCAGGGATGGTGAGGGTACGGGGAAGAGGGCCCCGAGGACTCACTCCTGCGCAAGGAGGGCAAGGAAAGGGGCAAGAGGAAGAGGAGTCAGGTCGGAGCTTAATCCGATGGCACTTGCGCGCAACATCAACACCGGGCACACCTTACGATTACAATTTGCTTGTCCGTAATTACCTTGTAGAGCAATCCCAATCCCAATCTCAATCCCGGCCTTCCGTAAACGCGTAAACGGGTGGAAGAAGTAGGGACGGGCCCCCCTTTCTGGGCAATCAGGCACATCATACATGCCGCAACATGCCGCAACATGCCGCACCTCCCCAGCCATGGCAGGGTACCAAGACGGGATCGAACCTACCTTATTTAACGCCGGCGGCTACGGGGAAACTTCCAATGCAGCCTACGAATACCTTATCACGGATCCTACGTTACTTACTAGTGTGCGAAAGAACAGGACATCGCTTCAGGAAAAAAAAAATTGTGTCCTGAAGAAAGAAAAGCAAAAGCCCGGGCACGGTCGTGAACTTTGAGTTGTGATGATCATGCAGGGACCAGCAAGTGCCGAGATTGATTCGTCGGCCGTCCGGGAAGGGGTTAGGAAATGACGGAGGACATTTGTCAAGTTGCTAGATTCAGATTCTCAAAGCCGCTTTATCCGCGGAGTTATCTTTGCTGTGCACAGAGCAAGTTATAATACCTACGCGTTCATACTTGCTGGAATTGCGCTCCGTTTATTCCTCTTCTTCTGGATAATGCGTGGTTTTGTGAATGGCATGACTCGGGTTTAGGTTTTTCAGAGTTTTGTTTATCCAATCTTTCGAGTTGCATTGTGTCGTATTGTCGCGTCGTTGATAGGGCACACCGCATACCTCCAGTGGGGGGGGGGGGGTTCTTGTGACCCGTGGTAGCTTCAACAATGGTTTTGTTAGTTCGCGCCTACACGAAATTGTGTCAGAGGTGGCTTTTCGCTCCGGAGAATCTTACGTCGCTGCCGGCGCCGAGGGCTCAGTCGGAGAAAGTGGGCCCCGCGCGGCACGGGGCTCGGAATCGAGCAGTGATAACCTGACCCGGGCCTGCTAATCAATGTGCCATGGTACCGGAAGGAAAGCCCACTACCAGTAATCGATGAGAAGAGAACTAAAGGGAGAGTTGCAGCTATATCTCAATGTTGTATTGAAATTTCAGTTCAGAAGAAGCTCAACGATATAGCACACTTTGATGATGCGCAAGTTACCTTACCCGCCAAATCTCGAGTGTCTCTTCTCACTTTTGCTACCCATCGGTCCGAGTTTCAACGAAGCACGAAGATCAATGCTCTGATTGTTTAACAGCCATCTCTCCAGCATGAAACATACTCGTCGCCATGTGACCTCATGATACTTCGCCGTCGTTACCTTGCATACTTACCTTGGGTAGTAGCAAACATCCTCACGCAAAACACACGGGGACCAAAGCTCCATACCAAAGTAAACAGCCTCTGATCACCCCAAAGGTAACGGCAGAACACAACATAGTTCCTAATCTAGATGTACCACTTCTAAACCCTCTCGTCGTTATGATCCCCCGGACATCCCGGCCGGGACCGAGTGCCGAAGAAGGCCGCTTACACAATCCGCCCGCCCATCGCAAGTCCCGAGCCAGGACCCGGGGGTGACGCTCGGACCCCTGTCTGCACTACCCCTCCGAGCCCTCCACCGACTTCAGAGTCTCCCGCGACAGGTTGTGGGGGCGGGGCAGCGCTAGTACCCCGCAGAACGCCCTCTCCTCTATGAAGTCAGAGACTCAGACTGAGTGCCGGAGGGGATTATCACCCAGGTCGGTACCTAGCTGGGGATGTGGTGGAGGAGGAGGGGTAGAGGGGGAGAATTACTGTATCCTCGAGTCTTGGGGAACTATCAAATGACAATGTGCTGACATACCTCTTTCCAAGCAGTTAATCCTAGGACTTAGAGACTTGTTCCGTAAATCCGTTGTGTTCTGAAGTGTCCGACTACGTCCAAGGTGCGGCGGATTTGCCGCGACGCGGCTAAGGTATCACCCGTCGACCGACACTCGAAATTCAGACCATCTGTACTGCATGGTACAGCTAGGTAGCCCACTCGGAAATCAGCGATTACAGAGCATTACATAAAGAGTGCCCCTCCCTCCGAAGAGTACCACCTCTGCCAGATAAATCCGGGGTCCTTGATATTAAAGATAGACGAGACGAGCAAAGAGAAAGCCGTTGCTAACTCGACTGGACATTTGAGAAGCAAATCGGACCCTTGTCGCTGCCTGCATCTAGATCACACACAATTAGCAAGCAACAATGGCTCAGAACACACCAGAGCTCCTGGATCTCACGATCGACAACATCACACCCAACACCGTTCGCATCAACTCGCAGAGCGACAATGCACGACTCAAGTACCTCATGGAACGGCTCGTCACCCATCTGCACAACTTTGCGCGGGAGACGCGGTTGAGCACTGACGAGTGGATGGCGGCGCTGAATTTCCTCGTCGGCTGCGGACAGATTAGTAGCGACGTGCGGCATGTAAGTCGGCGCGCGGTGCACCCGTCGTGAATATAGCGGATGGCTTAAGGACTCCTGACGAACGACGCTGACCGCCCGCCGACTAGGAGTTCATTCTCCTCTCCGATATTCTAGGCCTCTCCCTGCTCGTCGACAGCATTAACCACCCCAAGCCATCCGACTCCACCGAAGGCTCCGTCTTGGGGCCATTCCACACACACGATGCGCCGACTCTAGAGAACGGAGCGAATATGTCGGGAGATCCTGAGGGCGAACCGCTGCTGGTTGTGTGCACCATCAAGGACCGACAAGGTAACCCCATCTCCGGAGTCAAAATTGACATCTGGGAGACGGACAGCAGTGGTCACTACGACGTGCAGCACGAAGGGAGGACAGAAGCAAGCGAGCGCTGTGTCATGATCTCGGATAAGGAGGGTCGCTTCTTCTTCCAGGGAATCAAGCCCGTGAGCTATCCAATTCCCCACGATGGGCCGGTTGGAAAGTTGCTTTCTCTCCTGGGGCGTCATTGCTGGCGGCCAGCGCATCTGCACTTCATGTTCCAAAAGGAAGGCTGGGACCACTTGATCACGTAGGTTTTTCCGCCCTTATCTGTTGCTCCATTGTAGGAGCTAGCTCTTTCAAGAACCCCCCGTTCGTTCCGTTCCGATGCGGATGGCCAGGGTTGGGTGAGATGGATCATGGATCTGGCTGACGCAATCAACTAGCGCACTCTATATCCGGGGAGATCCATATGAGAAATCGGATGCGGTGTTTGGTGTTAAGAAGAGTCTTGTTGTCGACCTCGATAAAGTGGACAAGGCGACGGCGGAGGAGTATAACGTCAAGGAGGGCGGATGGTTGCTGAAACAGGACTTTGTGCTGGTCTCGGAGAAGGAGACGCAGGAGCTGCGGGACCAGAATGCTATCGAAGCATTGGGAAAGCTGGGTCTGACACATCTCAAGCTTGTCGACCATTTGCCGGTGCCAGAGCTTGACTGATGAATGTGGAATTGTAATGAACATTTGAAGTCTTTAATTTCCATTTCGTGACTTTACGATCGAGTGGCTTAAGCGCCTTGACACCGATCCTGCTTTTGCTCGACCATGGTCTGAAAGGCTCTGTTCGTAGGATTGTTAGATTGTGACGGAGGACAGGGACATGCTAGTCAGCTCTCAGTGACGCATCGTGGAGCCGCATCCGGAGACTTGAAAGTTGTAGGGCTGGGCGCTGAAAGCGGCAAGGCCGGCTGGCAGCAGATGGTCATTGTAGAGTCGGGACTGGTCAAGGCGCAAGGTCTGGAAGCCGGCCGAGTTGGCGTTGATGCAGATGCCGCAGACGCAGGGAGTCAGGATTTGTCTTGCAGACGAAACAAACAACATTGTGCCTCTCTCTTGGGCTGGCGCTTTTCCAGGGGGGGTCCCTTATCAGATGATTGCCCATGTCTCAGTCCTTGAAAGTACGTGATCGTTGGAGGTATGTAGTGGCTGCCGACGAGAGACCTCTTGCAGCTGTATGATGTATCGAGGAAGCTCCGGTGGCGCCGACGTCCTGGCAGAGAGCTGGCAGAGGCCTCACGGTGGCTGTACCTGGGAGCCGGGTAGCGCAAGGTGCCGAGATACGAGCTGCAGATGGCATCCATAGATTGTTTGGGCATCCCGCCGACTAAACCGCAAATAGCCAGGGACAATCATGGGGTCGCGGCGGCGGCGCGCGAGTCGATGAGTCCAGCCACAACTAGGTGTGGGCCGTGCTGGTGTTGGTGTGACTGTTGCTTCTGTGCCAAGTGTGACCACCAACCAAACCTCTGCAATGAGGTATCCATATCCATAGTCGTCATCTTGTGCAGGGCAGGACTCGGACGGGTTTGTCACAAACAACGTGCTCACTGCGAGGGCTGAATTTGGGATGATGGGCGAAGGGTGAGTAACACACGTTGAACTGTGCGAAGTACAGAGGGGCAATGCCTTTCGGAAACTACCATAAGGCAGAAGAAGATGCGGGTGATGAGAGGTTCCATTGCCTTATCTCTCCCAAGTCAAGGTACCTTATCGGGCGCAGTCAGCGGCTCACGCGATTCCGTTTCCCACTGGTTCAGCCAGAGCAGGCACGGGAAACGGCCAGTGGCCTGTGCCTGCCCTGTGCAATAGTTGCCCCTCGTGCCCACCTGCACCTTCCAAGTCCCCCGGTTTACTCACACCAGGGCGGGAGGGCCTGAGACCCAGCCAAATCAGGTACCTTATCCGCCCATCGCTACCTAATACAGGCAGAGGAGTTGAGATAGGTACCTGACTGCATCGCTCTTTGTAACTCTGTTCAGTGCCCGCCCGAACCCGAGTCCGTCATTCCTTCCGTCCCAAGTTACCAATTTTGCGGGCTGCCCGCCTGCCCACCCTAACATCAGTCACTGATCTGCAGACCCCGTCCACCCCCCATAAATCTTCCGACGTATATAACCACCCAGCCCAGCGATCCCTCTTTCGTCCGTCTCCCACCACCTCATCATCATCGACCCAGTACAAACATCAACGACATCAGATAACCGCTAGATCAACTGCGAACAACCGCATTCTCGTGTTAACAACCCAACTACTCGAACACTACTACAGCGAGACCGCTCTCACGCCGTCCGTCGCTAAACCCCCGACAATCGTCACCCAACCCGTTTCCCAAGGTCACCCCCGAACAGACGAGTTTATGTCAATTGAAAATCTCAAGTCCTACGGTATGTCACCACCACAGTCGTCTTCCCTCGATCCACGATTATCACCGCCGTGTTCCTTCAAGTCTCCTGGCTCGCTGTCGCCTAGAGATTGGAACACGTTGCGTTGCCCTCTCTCCCCCCTGACCGCCACCAACTTGCCTACTAGGATGCTGACCATTGTCGCGCTTCAGACCCCTTCGCCGAAGCCGACGAAGACACCGGCGAGACCAAACAGTCTCAAAATTATATCCATATTCGGATCCAACGTACGTCGCGAACCTCCAAACCCTGCTGTCGAGAGACACAAATGCCGCACGTCCCGACAGAGCGGTCCCACGCGCGTCGACTCAAGGCAACCAATCAACATACAGTGACTAACCCATGACTTACAGAGCGCAATGGACGAAAGACTTTGACCACCGTTCAGGGTCTCCCGAAGAAATTCGACCAGAAGAAAATTCTCAAGGTCATCAAGAAGCAATTTGGTACGGATTACCCCGCTTCAACCCCAATATGTCATGGGCGGCCTGCTAACATGATCCCTTCTAGCTTGCAATGGCACCATCGTAGCTGACAGCGAGATGGGCGAGGTCATCCAGCTCCAAGGTGACCAGCGCAAGGTTGTGCAAGAGTTCCTCATCAACACCAAGGAGGGACTCGGATTGGATTCCAAGACCATCAAGGTCCACGGTTTCTAAGCACGCCGCAAGTCGCCACCGTTCCTACCAGCCTTGGCCACAGCGGCTACGGCTGACGTCCGGGTCTGAGAAGAGCCACGAGGCATAGCAGCCTCTCCGCCTTTCGACGCCGCTCAGTGTCGGCACCCGATGTGACGTAGTAGGACGGTATACCTCCCACCGACAGAAGAGGTTATCGGTGGAGGTTGAGGGCGACTTGCGTCAGCTTCGACGCATGATGAGACAGTTAGATCTCGAGCATCTCACAAGGGCCCACCGTACTTTCATTGATGGTTTGGGTGGTCCAGAGATTTAGTCTTGAAAATGACAAACTTGTCCCAATTCTCTCTTGCCATTTTTGTGATGTGTGCTGTTGTTTTGGAGCCTTCTGGCCGTTGATAAATTCGTCAAAGTCCTTGGATCATGTTACTTTTTGAGACAATCCCTAGTCAAGGATGTTTCCACTACCTGAAAACAACTTTGCGATTTGGCACCCAGTAGACGAAAGTTGACCCTTCATCTACAGGGAAGTTTGAACCATACATTGTGGACAGTAACAACGTGCCAGCAACTTGTCTTATTGCATGAGGAAACCACTTTATATGCAGCATAGCTGTGAATTTGGGGTATCTATGTTTCTCAAAGCACATTCCAGCACCCGTTGCTTTCAACAAGGTCGTGTTTCCTCTTTCTCGTGCTTCCCGCCCCTAAATGCTTTCCATCGTGGGGGTCCATCCGCCATGACATATAGTTCGTGTCCCCCTTACATTCACCAAAACATATCAAATAGATGGAACAATGCTCTGAAAATTTAGATTCGTGACATGGCGCCTATAGTTCGCTATGCGAAGGGGAATAGGAAGGCAAGATGGCCTCGCCGGTCACACGCTCAAATTGCTGCAGGATGAACCTGGCGAGGGACTCGAACGGTTTTTCGGGATAGTCTGAGCCGTTGTAGTGGAGGTGGGCGAGGAGGGATATCATGCTGATGAAGCTGGCGATGGAAAAGATGTTGATCGAGGTGGAGGTTTCCTTTTGAATGTTTATGCTTCGTTGGGTGATGTGGTATGCTATCGTAAGGGTCTGGTTTACGCACGCAGGGCAAGATGTTAACGGTTGTTTAACTAATGCTTTCGGGAGCGGACCAAGTGTAGAAAGCTGCTGTGGAACAGGAAAGCGTTTGACTGACCGTAGCTATGGTGACCCAGCCGGGGAGAAGAAGTCTTGGGTCCTCGAAGCCGCCTGAAAATGTGAGGATTCGTTCGGTGAGGAAGGCGTTGGTGGAGTTGATTGTAAGGAGGCGGATGATTGTCGCTTGTGGGGTGTAGTTGATGAGCCTAGTCGTTGTTAAACGAGCCTCTTCAGATACGGAACACAGCATGTAGAGAACAAAGGTGCACTTCAACCACTTACCATCGTGACATCAGGCAGTCTATGAAGAAGAAGGAGAGGTACGCTGAAGCTCCGCACTAACACGATCCTCATGTCAGTTTTTGATTCGTCTTTCGGGGTTCATCCAACGGCACAACCCAGCGCAGGCGCCGTTGTGTGCTCCCCCAGAGAAGAGCAATGCTTCCACATACCCACATGAGTCCCAGGGACATTTCAGTCCATGGGAAGGGTATCTCGGAGTGTCCGGGGGGCCAATTGGGCGGGGGGCACGTGCTACCCGCGAACCCGCCGCTGACGACACCGCCAACCCCGACTCCAGAGGCCGCCGCAGCGGCAGCATCAACAGCTTTCTTTCCCCCCGGTACGGCGACGGGGATAATCTGAACGAGGAGGGTCAGAGCGGGCTGCAGGGCCCAGAAGATGGCCGGGCCGATAGAGAGAAGGCGGCAGGCGAAGAGCCATGGTCGCCATGGCTTGGGGACATTGAGGACGACGGCGATGCGGGGTTCGAGGAGGGAGGAGGAGACGAGGTCCGGGTTGTAGGGCGGTGGGTGGCCGGAGGTGGTGTCGTCTGCGTTTGGGTCTGGAGGAGCGCCGTTCGTGGGAATCGGGGTGCCGTTTGTGTGGTGGTGTTGGTGCTGGAGGTGGTGGTTTGAGACGGCGCGCGCGAGGGGTGCCATCTAAGCTCTGTGAGGCGGTGGTGTTGCGGCGGACTGCGCTGCCATTGATGGAGGGGATTCGGGTGCGGTTGTCTGCGGCGGCGGCGACGATGGCGGCATGGGGGTAGTAGAGTTGTCGAAGGAGGCAAGTGCCAGACGGAGAGAGGAAGAGAGCGTGTGATGGACGAGAAGGAGGGTTAGGTTCGAAGCTATTGTGAGATGGCCGGTTGGTCGAAGAGTCCGGTATCCGTAGGCGTCTAGGCCTTTTAGGACCTTGAACCCCAAGGTAGGTAAGGTTGGCGAGTAGCGTAGTGTAGCAGCAGAGCGGAGCGGGTTTCTGGAAGTTTGGAAGAAGCAAGATCCAGTCGAGAACTACTTAGTGGCAGACGGAAAGGTAGCTCGGCACACTGGTGCTTCCAAGGTTGTGTCTCGGCGTCGTGCTCCAGCACTTGGGATTGGGCGGTCCTGCAGCTCGTTTCTGGGGGGTGCGGTCGATTTCCTCCCTCTATTCTTGTTTTTTGGGACAGGAATGTTCCAAGGAACGGAGAGCATCCGAGAGTTGGAGGCGGCTGGGATGTGAAGGAGGGATTGGAGCTCGAGTATGAGGGACCCTTTTTGGGGGGTTATTCGGAGGACGGACGAAGACGAGGACGAGGAGGGGGAATGGAAGCCCAGGCAGGTAGGTCGCGTGCCGCTGCCCGCAATTGTGTCGACAAGTGTCAATTACGGGAATGTGTGTGTGCGTGAGATAATGCCAAAATGGCCGAATCCAGCTGGTCCAGGAGGTGAGCTATTGGTCAGAGTTGTAGACCAGATTAGAAAAGAAAAAAGGTTTGGATTGATTAATGAGTATTCCAAAGAGGTGAAGCATCCATCCATCCTCCCACCTTCCAGGTTCGCTACCTCACATTATCTTGATTGCTACGTCGCCGCTGAGCACTGGGCACTGAGCAGCATGAGCAGGTACAGGCACGTTTTAGTCGGGCTTCCCTTGTGGATGCGGAATTGAGACAATGACAGCAGGGTCCTGCCCGACCGTGGGTAAGGTACGTATTCGTAGCGTAAGGTACGAATCCCTCTTCTCCCTCATTGCGGAGTCCGACACATCATGAACGGATACCACAACCCTGCCAGTGCCTGCCTTCGTCGTCATTTTTGGAAGCAATTATCCACTCGACGTGGCTTGATGACTATCGAGGCTGTCATTGGTGTAATTCAACTCTAGTGGGGGAAACATAGCTATACAAGCCACAGTGTGGCGCAGATGACCATCGCGGCAAGAATATGAGCCGTTCACTCCGCTGTTTCCAAAAGATGCGACGGCCGAAGCGCTTGCCGCGGAGGATGCCGACCAAGTTGTGGTCCCTCGAGAAAAATGTCCCCCGAAAGCTTGGACCACCTATTTTTCCAATTGGAATTTTTGGTCAGCAGAGGTGTTCGTGATAGAGCTCCCCGGTAAGAGGACAGGACGACCCGTTCGGAATCAGACCATTCCCAGAGTCCGCCCGCTCCCGCACTCGACGACGACGACGACGATCTCGAACCTGGCATAATCCTACGATCACGAATCGAGACCGATTGACCTACCCGTCACGCGCCATGTACCGATTCGCGAGGCCGCTGCTCGGCCTCGGCAGCGCAGCCATGCGCCCCCAGCAGCCCTTCACCAGAGTTCTCCCCGCGGCCAAGAGGATAGCAGCGTCGCCTGTCGTGGCCGTGTCGGCGAGGAGGGGCTACGCAAGCAAATTTGCGGCGGACATGCGGATGAGTTCGCGCCAGAACAAGAAAGCTTCGCAGGCCGACGGCGGATATTCTGCCAGCGAGATTGAAAAGTCCATGACTATGGCACATATTATGCTTCCAGGTACGTTCTCAGTTTCGAGATGGTGTGATTCAGTAGGCGCACTTTATACGTGGAGGGAGCCGGAAAGAGACAGACAGAGAATAGCTCGTTGACACGGCATTCACAACAGGAACCTTTGTCACCGTACCCTTCTCCCAACTCGACAAGTCCCCCAAGGCCCTCTGGGCATACAACTACGCCCGCCTCAAGCAACGCGTGCTAGACTTCTTCGCCGTCTTCGGCGCAAAGGTCCACTCCATGCCGAACTGGACCACCAAGCCGCGCTTCCAGCTCAGCTACACCAAGATCGTCCCCGAGGCCAAGGCCCTCCATCGCCGCCTGGGCGAGGCCCTGGCCGCCGGCGACAAGGACACCCTCCGCGAGATCTGCACCCCGGCCCTCTACCAGACCCTGTCGGCCGTCATCTCGCGTCGCAAGGCGACGGAGAAGCTGACGTGGGAGCTGCTCCGCTACGACGGCAAGCCGCGCATCGTGAGCCACAAGATTGCGATGATGCCGCCGCTGGGCAAGGCGCCGGTTATCCAGCAGGTCGTCGTCGCCATCTCGAGCTCGCAGAAGCTGGACAAGATTGAGAAGTCGACGAATAAGCCCGTCAAGGGCGGACTGCGGGTGCAGAATCAGACAGAGTACTTTGTCATGACCAGGCAGTTCAACCCCAAGACTTGGGCGCCCAAGAAGTGGATCGCGTGGGGCAACACGCAGGCCACGACGATGGAGGACTGGGAAATGATGCAAAAGGGCATCAAGGATATGGAGAAGAAGGATTATGCCAAGAGACGGGGGGAGCGGCTGTGAGGCTGATATCTTTGGGTCGCACTGGTGAGGACGACAACAGGAGGTTGTGGCGGGCATGTGTATGAGGAGTGAAACAAAAACATGTAATGAGTGTATTATATGTGTCTGATTAAATGGCTGGCTATAGAACGGGCCTGATTGCATAGGAGCAAAAGACTCTCCGACCACCAAATACAAGAATCAAATCCCCCCCCTTCTCCCTACTTCGCTAGGGTTATTTTCCCTTCCGTGGGTATTTATTCCACTTTTGATGTATTGATACGAATTGCTACGCAAGGATCAAATGGTACTTCAGGAAAACACCTTCTGAT